CAGACTATTGTGAAGTCTTAAAACCATCTCAAGGGGGATGTGGTTGTTTGGCCCCCTTGTTGGAGATGCTGTGAATTGCTGAGCCACCTGTGTGTGCAGAGGGGTGCAGGGTTGCTCAGGGTCCGGGGGAAAAAGAGAAGGATCCAGAAGGAAGCAGGAAGCCTGAACAGAGAGGGGAAGCAGTTGAAAGCCAGGGAGACTAGTTGATTATTCTTAATTGCCTTGCTGAGCTAGAATAAGGGGCTGGATCTTAGAATTGTTTTTTGCTTTAACGAGCCTATCTGAATTTTTAAAAGTATGCTTTCATGAAAGAGTTGTATTTTATGAATCCAAGATTAGGATGTGAATCCCAAATTAGCTGTGAATTTGGACATCAGCAGTACTTCAGGGACATGTGGGAACACATCACAAAGACAACAGGATCCCCTGCTTGTACAAGGGGGACAGTGCTGGGGTCGCAGGCTTGCTGAGGGTGCCCTCTCCTTTTCTGAAAGTTCTTATTTGTGGGTGATTTAATCACATCCTGAAACATAACTGCACTTCAGTTTTCTTGGATGGTGCTCCTCACTTCCCTCTTCCCAGACCCTCCTCTCTTCAGTGTGGAGAGACTAATCTCTGGGTTTGACTGCTGTGAATCTCTCCCAGCTGCTGAAGGCTTGATTCTGTAACTTGCACTCAGAGAGAATGCTTGGTTTTTTGTCTTCCGTTCCTGCCAGGCAAGAGGTGAGTGTGTGTCTGAAGCCACGAGAGGACCATGTGGTGTGAGGCTTTCCTCAGGAGCCCCCTGGGCTTCGCTGGGCACAAAGCCTGCCTGTTTAGTCTTGGTGCTTCTGCGTCTGCCTGTGGGGTATAGTAGGGGCTCTGTGACCCCAGAATGACCCCACTGCCAGGCTGCCTCTGCAGCAGATATTTCTGGGAGGGTGCCTTGCTTTCTACAGTGAGTCTCTTTGCTGGCCCATGAGGAACTAAAGGGAAATGTGTCTCTGCAATACCGGCTAGTCCTACATTAGGAGAAAAAAAGCCCCCTATGCATAGTATAGTATAAGGTAGAGAATAAAAAATAGTGTTAGGAGGGGCTGAGAAGTTAGGGAAAATTAAGGAACACGGCGTGGCTCAGCCAATGGAAGTCTATTAAAGAGTGGAGAAGCTGGCGTTGGGCCAGGTGAGCAGGAGGCTTTGGTAGATGTATTGGGGACAAGCAGGGGACAGTGTGGGTGAAGCCACCTCAATCCATGAGCTATAGTTGAGGACAATAGATTCAGACCAGACTGTGGGATGTGGGTTGGTGAATGAGTTTAAGCAACCACAGCTGGAGGAGAGGTGTCTTAGCTGAGAAGCCACGTTTGTTTGCGTCACGTCACTACTTACCTCATGTCCTCCTAGTGAATTTGGAGGGTTTTTAATAAGCTAGAGGAAGTTTAGTCTAGTGCCAGAAGAAGGAGGCGTTGAGAAGCTGGGATATGTGTAGGTGTGTGCATGTGTCTGAATCCCTGTTAAATTAGTCTAAATCCTTGGCATCTGTTCGTTTGTGTAATCGGAGTGTGCTGGTCTGCACAGTGTTCTAGGCGGGTCGGACCTTCGTTTCTAGGCCAGCATTCATTCCACCTGATGACAAGGCAGCTTTGTGAGTCATCTGGCTGCTGCAATGCAGAAAGGTCCAGAACGCCATCTGATTCCCAACCTGGTGTGGATCCTAGGCAGGCCTGGGATACCTTGGAAGGGCACATTGGGAGAAGAGCCTGGAATTGTAGCATGGGGTCATAGGTCTTTGACTAGCATGGGGTCATAGGTCTTTGGGTAGCTAGGGGTCATGGAAAGTCAGAACCTCTGAAACCTGGCAGGGGTTGTACAGTCAAGGAACCCAGGCTTTGCTTTCCCCAGCTCCCATCTCCAACCCAGGAGCATACAAGTCAGACTTCTTCCTGGCTTTGTCTTTTTCCATTATTTGTTCTTGAGGTGGGAAATAGTGTTTTGGAATCACCCAACCCTACTGGTATCAGAGTGACTCAGTAAAAGTTTCTACAGGATTCTAGATGAAATCTTTTTTATGACTTTGAGCAAATATTGGTGTGACTCTGGGAAGGTGTGGCTTTGTTTAGTGAAGTTTATATTCCTTGCATTAAACCCTGAGTTTGCTGAGTCAAAATATTGTGGAGTGGTTATTGTTTTCAAATTCTATAGGAGTTTTGGAAAATAGAAGCAAGTCTAGAAGAAAGTGCTGGGTGGTTATTGGACCAAATTATTATCATGAATAGTTGGGCTCTGTCAGGCCAGATCAGCTCAGGAAACTCTCCTAAGTGCTTGCCATTCACTAAGGACAAAAGCCATCGCTCCGTGATGACCCAGCGTTGACCTGGGGGAAAAGGAATGACCTGGTTGGTGGCTGGTGGGCTCTCATCTGCAAGTTTCAGAATTCAAGACACCATCCAAAGGCAGACACAGGGCCTCCCCGGTGACCTCTCCTGCCGCCCGCTGCTCCCCTCAGCAATGTACTTCGGTCCTTCTGCCTGCTCTGCTCCCTGCTCTGGCTCTGGTGAATTCTCTCACCCTCCTGCACTTCTGACTGTACCCAGTGCTTGTATAAATCAATCAATCAATCAATCAATCAATCAATCAATCTTAAAAAAAGAAAACCAACAACAAAGGCAGACACACAAGAGAAACTAAAAGGTTTTATTTACTCAGGGTATAACGCAAAGGGACAGGGAGAGGGCATTGGAAAAGAAAATTTATTGTTTGACACATGCCCCAGCTGCTGATTATCCTAGGCCAGGTAGTATCCACTCTCCTGAGCCCAGGGTCCAAGCAGGAACCCTGAGTGGCAGGTGGGAAGCCAGCCAGGAGAACCCGCAGCCACAGGCAGGGAGCCAGCAGGAAAGCCCCAAGCTCAGCCTGCCTGTTCTGTCTTTTAAAGTCCACCAGCCAGCCCTGCTCTGTCCCTCAGGCCCAGCAACCCACCAGGAAGTCTGAGGGTGTTGCTTCCAAGATTTACTGCTTTCTTACTGAGTCACAAAGTATTTGAGCTAGCATCGGTTTATTCAGTAAATGCCTTGTTTCATAGGCCATTTGAGGGCCCTGGCTTCAACATGACCACCGAAAATGGCAGAGCTGGGCTTAGGGACCCTGTCCCCTGACTTGTTGAGGTGTGAGTTCTTTTCCTAAGAAAAGCTGCTCTTAGGGCCTTCCTGGTGGCCTAGGGGTTAAGTCTCAACACTATCACCTCTATAGCTTGAGTTCGATCCCCAGCAAGGGAGCCAACCCATGCATGGTGCGGCAGACGTCTCCTGTGTTGCTCGCTGTCCCCTCTGCAGTGTATTTCAGTCAGTCCACCTGTTCTGCTCCCCACTCTGTCTCTGGTGAATCCTCTCATCCCCTCCCCCCACCTCTGGCCTACACCCCAGTTCTTCTGCGCAATGAAAAAAATTACCCCTCTGTAAAATCAATAAAAATCTGGCTACTGTCAGAATTAACTTAAAAAAAAAAAAAAAAAAACCTGCTTTTAGGAGTTCTGGCGTAGAAGGAATTCTAGAATAAAGAGTTTTGCCACAGAAACAACAGAACTTGCCTGTCTATCTGGAGCTGCTTTAGCAAAATATGCTAAGTAAACGTGACTCTTCCCTATTTTTATGATGGTTTCAGCTGTCGCAGAGGGAGCCGGTGGTGTTGGGCAGTTTAGAGTGGTGGAAGAGTGTGAAGATTAACCTGAAACTTAATAGTTTTGTCATAAAATGAATGCTTCTTTCAGCTTTTTTGTTTCCAGCCTCTCTCATGTGAAATTTGGACTGTCTCATGTGGAAAATCTCATTGCTGGATAATTACAAAGACTGAATCCGCTAACACCTCTGTGTTTTCCTTCGTGCACATTCTCAAATATCTTCAGTGCTTTTAGCCCTGTGCTTGGTACACAAGAGACATTTGATTACTGTTTATTAAAATGGCTTGAGATTTCACTTAATCTTCCCAATCACTGTAAGAGAAATGATTCTATTTTGTCATCAGCTGAGCCTTAGCATGACAGATAACTTCCTTGAGGGTCAAGAGGCAGAAGGCAGGCCTGGCATCCTGTGCAGAACAACTCCCCTGGCCCGTCACAGCAACGTCTGCCACCCAGCACCATCACCTGTGACCCCAGACCTGCTGAGTCAGAATCTGCTCAGTGAACAAGACCTCTGGGTGATTCTTGAGTAAGAATCACCTTGCAGCTCCAGGCTGCATCTCCAAGTGGATTAACCCCTCTCTCTTGGGGTTAATGGAAATGATGCATTTCCTGTCCTGGCTGTGCTGGTTCTCTTGGATTAAGCTTGGGGGAAGGGAGGAACTTAAGATAAACAAATAACATGACTTTAAAATGTGCCTTATTCTAGCACCACTTGTGAAAATTGTTCCCCAGAGGCTCTATGGAGGCTCCGCATCTTATGAGACTGGTTCAGCCCCCCACCACAATCTCAGGGTACACTTTGCCCTGTCCCGAGGAAAGGGTCTCACTACTTCTTCTGAGAGCGTGGAGCTGAGCTGGTCAGGGGATGGGTGCTCCAGGGGGCAGCATGTGAAGGTGATCGATGAGCCCATCACAGCAAGGGGACTCTGTGGCCCCAGGGAGTCGGAGAAGGGGTGGCACATGTGGGTCTTCTCTGAATCTGATCGTGGCAAGAGGAAATGACACACTTCTGCCTTGGCATCCCGAGTGAAACCGGCTGGGGCTGACAGAATGTGCAATGCTGTTGCCTCCCAGGGTGTGCCGGGGAATAAATTCCGCAGGCTGGGGCCCGTGCCTGGCAGGTGTGCTCCTTTCCTGACGTGCTGAGCAATGTCTGAGGTGTGGGCATCACGCAATGAAGGTTTTCTCAAAACTGGAAACCCAAAGCATCTGAGTGATGCTTTGAGTCACTCACTGTATGGAAAGAATGTGCTGGCACGAGCAGATTGCTGGCTGAGTGTTCAACTAAAATTAAACTTGAGTGCTGACTTCTTGTTTTTACCTCCTCTCCCCTCCCCTTCAGGTTGGTCTCCGACAGCTGGACATGTCCTTGCTCTGCCAGCTATACAGCCTTTACGAGTCCATTCAGGAATACAAGGGAGCGTGCCAGGCAGCATCCAGCCCTGACTGCTCTTCTGCTCTGGAGAATGGCTTCTTTGATGATGAGGAGGAGTATTTCCTGCAGCAGAATGCCCTGCCTGATGTTGGGGAGCTAGACCCCCCAAGGGACCTGTCACTGTCCATCTCCCCCAACTCCAGCAGTGATTGGATTCTGGAGTCCATCTAGAGGGTCTCAGGAAGGAGGCAGCTTTAGGGGACATGCTGAGAACCGGACACACCCATGGACATTTGCTTCTTTTGTAAGAAAGCACCTCAGCTCTCCATGGTGGGCCATCCGCAGGCACGTGGCGCCAGTGCCACTGGTTTAATTTATAGGCAGGTTTAATTCGTGGCATTCTCTCTCAATGACTGGTGTTTCTGCTTGGGTGATCCAGAGGTGCTCAGCGAGGTCCTTGACACTCTAATCCTGGGGCACTTTAACCTCGGATTTGCCATGAGAACATAACGAGAAGATCCTGGAAGAGACCTTGGCTGGGATTTCATGCTAGATTTTTTGCTGGTTACAGCCTTGCAGCTAGTGGTAGATGATTTGTGCCCTCTTTGCAGAATGTGCGGTGGGAACATTTCACTGCCTGCCCTTCCTCAGTATGTTTGTTCCGCAGCCATTCTTGCTGTTTCCTGAACTTTTCAAACCTCTTGGTAGAGCTTTATTTATTTGTCAGCTGCATTACTAGCTGTCCAGGTGGCTCAGTGAAAGCTTTTTACTGAGAAAACATTTCACATCATGCCAATTAGCTGCATTCTAGTAATCCCTCAAAAAAAAAAAAACATTACAATGCTCTTTGTCCATCAGATACACGAAGAAAGAAGATAATGTGAAGATGTGTTGAGTGGTAGGGAAACAACTGGAACAAGCTAGTGTTTTGTATCATTGACTGTGAGATAGCAAATGTTTTTGTTTTTAAAGATTCTGAATGTAAACCAGTGTTAAAAAGCAACCCCCATCCTTCACTCAAAATAGTGATCACCTTAAGCCTTAATATATTTATTAAAATACTTTATGAACACTTTACACTGTGCAGGCTTAAAATGAAGATAAAATGCCAAACTGTAGTTGTGTGTTGCTTTGGTCTGAATTCAGAATCACCAACTTTTGTAACTTGTGTGTATTGAATCTAATCAAACACTGAAAGAAAATTCACTGCCCTTATGCATTTGAAAGCAGCTTTATTCCTGTTGGCTTACACTTGGAGATGTCTGAGCCTCAATAGGCCACTGCTTATGGGGCGCTTGGTGCTGTTGGCTCTGAATGCCCCAGATCCTTTTCTCCCCTTCTTTTGGTGTAACAATTCCATATTAACGGCCCTTTAGGGACAGTGAAAGGAAGTAAAATTCATCATTGCGAACCAGCCCGTGGACAACCTGTTATGTACACAACCCTGTTTCAGGAACTGGGGTGAAGTACAGAGAAGGAAGAGCCTTTCCGGCATATTTCCTGTGTTGAATATAGTGAAGTGAGGGCTGGCAATAAATTGCCTTCAACATAGGATATAACTGTTAAGTGGTGACAAGAACATTGCAGAGGGGACCAGAAAATTGCAAAAACCAGGTGACCTCTATGAGGAACCTACCCTTTTGAGGGTGGACCCCTGTCTAACGATGACGAGTGGGGCGTTTAGGTTAGCTGTTCTCAACTGTGACCATATTGGAATTGCTTGGGGGGATTTTAGAAAATTATTGAGCCTGGCTCAGTCCTTTACCTCCCACCCTCCTAATTTATTCTAATTTTTAAAAATATTTATTTATTTATGCATACAAGAGCTGGGGTGCAGGCCAGAGATGTAGGGGTTGAGAGAATTCACCAGAGACAGAGTGGGGAGCAGAACGGGCAGATTGACTGAAATACACTGCTGAGGGGAGCAGCGGGCGAGACAGGAGATGTCTGCTGTGCCATGTAGGTCACCTCCTGGCTAGGATCAAACTCATAGTGCAGTGGCTGCAGATAGCTTCACAGTGCTGCATCTCAACCCTTTGTGCCACCAGGGAGGCCCCCTCCTACTGATTTAATTAGTGAGAAGTGAGGCCTGGGCATCTCTGTGTGGTTCTAGGAATCCTCTAGATGATTCTAATGCAGATGTGGTCCATAGCTAGTGTTCAAAATATAGTCCATGGAGCAGGCATCACCAAAAACATGTTAGAGATAGAATGGAATACCCAGCCTACGTCAGGCCCTGCATCTTCACAAGATACTCCCGATGACTCCATTGTTTGGCACTTGGGAAGTGCAACTTAACATCAGCCCAGCAGATACCATTAAACAAGAGTCTGGCTGCCCTAGGTCCCAGACAAGGATGGGGAGACCAGGCCTTTTAGGAAGGGCCCACAGTGGCCAGGGAGGGGTGCTTGCAGGGGTGGGGCAGGCTTGAGGGTGCCCTCTAGCTCCGATTTCCTGCTTTCCCTGTGTCTGTCGGCTCTGGCCTCTTCTGGAACTGCAGTGATTCACCATGCCTTTGAGTTTTGGTGCTTTTGTCATTGCAGGATCATCTATCAGAGTTTGAAGTGGAATTTTAATCAAGGCAAAGCGAGGGGCTTCCCTTACTGCTTGGAAGGGCTGGTACATTCCTCACTCCTGCAGTGAAGTGGCATATATACATAAACGCAGTTTTTAATACTCTATTTGAAATAACCAAACGTTCTCTTACTTGATACATAGTGTAATGTTGTAAATACTGCTTGGCAAGGAATATTAAAATTTAGCGAACCATAAAGTGTTTTCTAATACATCTTCCTTGCGAAGGTTCCACAGATGATTAGAAAATAAATTCCCCTGTGTCCTTTATTGCTACCTGGCATAAATCTTTGCCACTAAGTTTGGAGTGGGACAGTCTTGCTACTCAGTGAACAATAGTACACCCAATGGGCGAGGCTGTCCAGCATTAGCTGATGAAAGATGAAGACTCTGTGATGTGCTGTGTGGCCACACACTGGAGGGCAACGCTCCTGTGCCTTTCTCAGGCATATGTGTGGGGAACCGAGAATTGTTGATAATTAAATTTTGCTGTTCACAAATGATAGAGTTCTCCTGTCTCCAGTGGAATTTATAGTCAGTTTACCAACATGACTCTTTGCTTTCATTGATCAGTAGCCTGGGGTGATGTCTTTCACTCGACTAACATTTATTTAGTACTTTTCTGGGGCATTTTGAGCTGGACACAGATGAATAACGGGAAGAGCCTCTGGCAGATGTAATGAGGTTAAGGATAGAGATTGGGGCAGTACTACCGAGGCCTGGGAGGGAATTCAACAAGTACTTGAGGACGTTGGCGGAGAGAAAACCTCAGCTGGCTTTGAAGGGTAAGCAAGTTAACTTCAAGAGGGAAAGTGAGGGGCCTCCCTGGTGGCACAAGGGGTTAAAACTCAACCTATGAAGCTCCTTGCAGCCACTGCAGCACAAGTTTGATCCCTGGCCAGGGAACTACCCAAATAGCGCAGCAGACCTCTGCTGACTTGCCCGCTGCTCCCCTCAGCAGTGTATTTCAGTTAGTCTGCCTGTTCTGTTCCCCTGTCTGTCTCTGGTGAATCCTCTCACCCCCCTCCCCCACCTCTGGCCTGTTACCCCAGTTCTTGTATGCATAAATAAATAAATCTTAAAAAAAAAAAAAGAGGGAATGGCATAAAACAAAGTCCCCAGAAACATGTATAGTAATGTGCTTTCTATTATCAAAACTAGTTAAGTGATTTGCCGTAGGTCAACGCTAAATAGCAGCAGAGTTGGAGTTCTCCGATGCCAGGTGTGTCCTCTATCTGTTTAAGGAACAAGGGAGAAGGGGAAACCTTTGGGGATTACCTGATACAGCCCCTTAATCTTCTATTGCTGTGCTTTATAATTTAGTGCTTTGTTGTGCAGCATTTCATATTGGATCTTGTTCTGACTTTGTTTACAGGCCTAATTTCTTTTGGAGCCTGTGATTATAAACATGCCAAGTCTATGGGAGGTGGAAAGACTAAGCAACCATCATCTCTTCACTGTGGGCAATTCAAATTCATCTTCCTGTCCAGGGAAAACTTGTTGACTATATAAGCCCAAACCTGTCCAGTCTTCTTTTCACGGAGGTTGTACTATGAGTTCAGAGAGATGAATCTGAGTTTATTCTTTATGGAGGTGGTAGAGGTTATGTCACTAAGGTTACACTTGTAGAACAGGTGACACCTGCTGGTTCAGTGTTTCTTGGGTGAAAATGCTACAGGAGCGTGTGGGTGTCCCAACCACTTAGAGTGGGCTTTGGAAAAGTGTCAGCTGCCTGCCTGATGCCTTTGTTCTCACCCGCTGGAATAAGGCTATTACCTTTCCACCTCACTTCTTCGGCTGCCGGTCAACTTAGGACAGGTCCCTAGAAACTGCCTTTCCTCGCTGGTTCTGCTCCCTGGGGAACGTGTGCAGACAAGCTTAATATCCACAGAATGTTGAGCAAACACTTTTATTAAGTACATGGACAAAGTGACATCAGCAAGATGAAAGTATGCAATAACAGTGGATAAAGAAGAGCTACAGTTCTAGAGAGGAGAGGATAAGGGCAAATGCCAACTCGAGCAGCCAGCATTGCTGATCTTAAGCAGAAGCTCAAAGACGCTCTCTCCCCGCTTCCCATTCCATCTCCAAGACACAAATTCTAAGGAAAGTCAGTGACGTAGACAGCCTGAGCACCACAAAACCATTGTTACTGGGAAGGTGATTTGGTGGGAGGAACACTTGTATTAGAAATAGATGTGGTTAGGGGCCTCCCTGGTGGTGCAAGGGGTTAAGCACCACACTATGAAGCCATCCAAAGCCTCTGCAGCACGAGTTTGATTCCCAGCCCACCTGTCTCTCCCGCTGCTCCCCTCAGCAGTGTATTTCAGTTAGTCTGCCTGTTCTGTTCCCTACTCTGTCTGGTGAATCCTCTCACCTTCCAGACCTCTGGCCTGTACCCCAGCTCTTGTATGCATAAATAAATAAATCTTAAAAAAAAAGAAATAGAGGGCCTCCCCGGTGGTGCAGCAGTTGAGCGCTGGGTTGCGAAGCTGCCCGCAGCCTCTGCAGAGCCGGTTCGATCCTCGGCTGCTCCCCGGCCACCAGAGGAGGGTCCCACATGGCACGCAGACCTCTCCTGCCGCCCGCTGCTCCCCTCAGCAGTGTACTTTGGTCCTTCTGCCTGTTCTGCTCCCTGCTCTGGCTCTGGTGAATTCTCTCACCCTCCCGTGCTTCTGGCTGTACCCAGTGCTAGTATAAATAAATAAATAAAATAAAATAAAAAATCTTTAAAAAGAAATAGACATGGTTAAAGCACAGTCACCACATGGTCTGTTCTGTAGGAGGGCACAGCCTGAGAAAGGGGCAAGATGGACCTTAGTTCACCTCAGTTCTGGGACTTAGGGACAAAAGCACCTCCTCCTCCATGCCCTTTCTTTTCCTCTTGCCTTCAGGATGATAAGCTGCCAGAGGGGCTCCAGTTTTCGAAAGGGTGAAAGGGAGGACGATTTAAAATGATCTTCAGAGCATCATTTGCGTTAGAGACAAGAAAATTCCTAAGTCCTAGGATGGTATGAAAGGCAAGGGGATCTGAGGGTGAAGGGCAGATTAGTGATACTGCCCACTTATCAGGTGCCCCTAAGTGTAGATGTCTTAGGAATCTACATAGAGATGAGTTGGGAGATGAGGAGGATGCTTGCCCACAAGACTCAACTTGCAGTTACTGTATGTCACCAACACCTGGCTGCCAGCGATACTCCCCTGGACGCTGGTCCTTGGTGTGTATGATCTGATTGCCCTTCTGGCAGAAACACCAGAGAAGGCAGGTAATGATTAAACTCAGTGCCCCTGCAGTCATATGCCATGTAACTTCTCTCAAGAAGCTTCTATCAGTCACACCCTAAAGGACTGCCTCCAAAATCAATAAATAGCTGTTCAGGCTTATCCACCCTCATCAAGGCATTTCCACTGTGCTGGGGCCTCAGATTGGACAGGCTGACATAAGACCTGGAAGCTGCAATTTATCTCCCCCTGCTGCAGAATAAAGGATAGAAGTATTGGGGTTCAGATGATGAGGTTTGGTGTGTGGGGTTCTTGGGCCCCTCTGAGAAAGAATTCAGCAGATGATCCTATTCATCAGCACACAGGAAGAAAAGAGAACAGGAAAGAGACGCCTGCATAGACATAGGCGGGCAGGAGAGTGGCATTTTGCTAGAGCAAGGGGTGTTCTTTGATGGAATTATTGTGGAAATTATCGCCTTGTGGTTAGTTGGGGTTGGTCTGCCTCCACCTCTAGCTGATAATCTTTTCTGACTCAATTGGGTTTAGTTTAGGATTCATTCATCATCCTTATCCCAACCTCTGGTGTTTGTCTTTGTAAGACCGTTCATCCTAAATTTTTCTTCTTGCAGCTTCCATCGGAAGCATACCCCACTTTCATAGACATGTACCTGGGCGTATACAATTACTGACTTTAAATGGAGTGATATGGTTTATAGACCGTGCTTTTTCCAAAAACTATTTAAGGTGGCTTTATAAACATTCACACAACGCAATGAACTGCAATTTTCTAAGAAGTGGATTTAGAAATCAGCAAATAGGGATTATAAGGGCAAGACAGAGACACTGCCACCAGATGTCAAATCAGCGCAGGAAGCATCTGCTGTGAGAAAAGACAAGTTTTATCTGCTTGCAGAACACAAATGTGGCAGATTTTACTTGGAGCTCAATTTAAGGGCATGCATAGATAGTGAATGCTCAGCTCTAGGGCAGGTATTTGTCTTGGTATTTTCCTGCCATATGTGTACAAGCAAGGTGAAGGGTAAAGAAAATGTCAGGCTTTTCTGCCCTTCCGCCATCAGGATAGATGATGGATCCTTGTCCTGAATGCATGCCTGATGGCGGGCACCTGGAATAGGGTGTGGGCAAATGTAGATGGGATTCACCTGGGCTGAGACTGGGCTTTTAAGGGCGGCGTCACGGGGACGCCAGAAACTGAGAAAGAAGCCGATGAGAGAAGCAAAGAAGCAGAAGCAGAGAACGCCAGAGAGCCCAAATAGAGTGAGGATTTGCTGGGGGCTGGGAGGACTGCCAGCCTCCCAGCCCCCCAGCACCCCTGCCTGCCATATGCCTGGTGGACCCCAATAAAAACCTGCAAAACCACTGAGGACGCTGACTCCTCCTTTACCTGGTCTGCATGGGATCAGAAAACCTGCACTCTGTCCTGTCCTGCCTTATACAAGGTGACTTCTGGAAAATATGAGGAAGTGTTAGAATGACATTCTTCAAATGTTGCCAGGCACTCTTAAGGGTCACATGTTATGGACAGTGTCACACATACCCATCCTAGAGCTTTGGCACCAGTAGTTCCAAGAACCAACCGGTCTCCATGTCTCCAGGTGCCCCTCAGAAGCTCTTTGTAGTGCCCTGAAATCTGCCTCCTTGTGATGTCAGTGAAATTAGAGATAAAGGGTTGTTTCCCAGGAGAGCCCTTCTTAGTTTGGGAGGTGTGTATACATGTGGTGGTGGTTGGAAGTGGGCTGTTATTAGTCAAATGATTTTGTGGTGGGCTGAATTATCACCCCTCAGAGATATAATCTCCAGACTTGAACACTACCTTAATGGGGAAAAGGCCTTCACAGACATGATTAAGTTAGAGTTCTTGAGATCACTGGATTAGCCTGGATTACCCAGGTGGGGTCTGAATGCGATCACCAATGTCATTCAAAGAGAGGCAAAGGCCTCTCCACACATATGGAGGAAGTGATGTGATGATGGAGGAGAGACTGGGGTGGTGTGGAACAAGCCACGGAATGGCAGCAGCCACCAAAAGCTGGAGAAGCAAGGGATGGATTCTCCCCTGGCCTCTGGAGGGAGTATGGAGCTCAGACACCTTCATCTGGGCCCAGTGAAATGCATTCTAGACCTCTTACCTCCAGAATTGTGAGAAATTAATAAATTGGTTGTTTTCAGCCACAGGAATGAATACAGATTTTCAGGCAGTTTTATGGTCTTCCCCCTTCAGCTACTTAGTTATCCATGTCAGGATGGGACGTTATAATTCCATCTGTGGGCTATTAACACTGTGGGTTAATGCTCCCGCCTTTTAAAAAAGATTTATTTATTTACTTAACTTGCGGTGTAGGCCGGAGTTGCAGGGGGGCTGGGGTAGGGGAGTGAGAGGATTCACTAGTGACAAAGTGGGGAACAGAACAAGCAGATTTATTGAAATTCACTGCTAAGGGGAGCAATGGGTGAGACGGGAGAGGTCTGCTGCACCATGTGTGGGTCAGCTACTGATACTTAACCCCTATGCCACCAGGGAAGCCCTGTGTTAACCCTTTCAACACACTGAGGATACACTTCCTGATGGCTCTTAGCATCAACAGGCACTTTCTAGAATTATGAGTTAGTTATCATAATGTCCTTAACACAACAGGACCCGGCAGAAATTGAATGTTAAATAGGAATAAAGAAATAGAGCCCTGTTTGGTGTACTAAGGTTCTTGCTGTTATGCCTTTTTGTCTCTTCAAGAATCAAAGACCATTTCAAATTTAGTCCTGGGGTAATTTTTTCTTTCAAAATATATTTCCAATTTTATAAGAAGAGGTTTTAGTTAGATGTTAGATATCAGAAAGATACAACACAACTTTTCAGGACCATGACTGTGGGAAGAATTCAGTAAATGCTCATTTTTTTTTTTTCCTAGAGCTTGGAGAATTTTTTCTATGGTTCCCTGGAAGTGCTTATATTAATCTGGGTCTAGTCTTTTGAGTTCCTTATTTAAAATCTCTTGTTCTCTATTCCTAATTGTATTTGAAAGACGGTTAATTTCCTTATCCAGGGATCCTCCATTGGACTAGATGTGGAGGCGGAGATTTTAGTCCCAGTTCTGTCACCATCTGCTTGTGTGACCTTGAGCAAAACACTTATCTATTCTAAGCTTCCTGTTTTTTATATACAAGACTTATTAAGAATTTTTAACTTTTCCAGTTGCTTATCTTATAAATATCTTTAAAGATGCCCTTTCTTTGGCTTTTATATACACCTCCATGTTTTCCTCCCAAACGAGTTCAAAGGGCTTCACACTTCAATAGAAAATCTCTTAACAAAACACTTGTCTATTTTCTATGTGCCTTACTGGTCTGTACTGTGCTCTCATAAATTGAGTACTTTCTCTTTGGTTTTTGGCTTGTTGAAAACTCCAGAGCCAGCTGGAGTGGGGTGATCACTGTGGGGTGATCCATGCTTGTGATTTTCAGGCAAGTCTTCTAGGGGGGCTTGAGTGCAAGTGCTTGTCAATAAAGGTGGCGATACCAAAAAGTGATTTAATTTTTATACTTTCAGCTACATTTTTCTATAAATAGCCTTCTTTGTTGTTAGATCATGCCTCAATATTTTCTATGCCTTGGAAAGCATAAACCTCATTTTAAAGCACTGAGCACCATCACTATCTTGCTAGTGTTAACAGTAGTTCTCTCATCTTAGCAATCATATGTAAATCAACTTTAAAAAAGTCACCAAAATTTAACAACTGCAAAATCTATGTGGTTTCACTGTACAATTCTGTCAATAGTTTCGTCTTTGAAACTTTTCATTAAAAAAAAAAATTGAAAAAATGGCAGGGCCAAAAAAAGAGGTAAGATGGAGTCCCTGGGCTGGACAGAGGGGGAGGGAGAACTAGTCTCTCTCTCCTAGTGTACCTCGTGGCCACTTAACAGGCAGCCTCTGTTTTCTTCTAGAATCTTACACTTTCTCTTTACACTCTGAAGAGTAGTGCAAAAACACTGAAGGGAGTCTAAGATGAGAGCAGGAGGGTTTCCTTCGTGGTTCTCTATACACACGCCACAGCCTGACTCACTACCACTCACAGACAACTCACTGATACCCAGGAAGCATTTCCAGTTGTTTTTTTTTTTTTTTAAAAGATTATTATTATTTTTTTAAAGATTTATTTTCTTTATACAAGAGCCGGGTACAGGCCAGATGCGCAAGAAGGTGAGAGGATTCACCAGAGACAGAGTGGGGAACAGGCAGACTGACGAAATACACTGCTGAGGGGAGCAGTGGGCGAGACAGGAGAGGTCTGCTCGCCATGTGGGGTTGCTCCGAGGCCAGCGGGGATTGAACCGACACCACAGAGGCTGCGGACCGATTCAGAGCGCTGCGCTCAACCATCTGCACCACCAAGGAGGCCCCTTTTGTTTTTTTTAAAGATTATTGACTACCTATATGGTGCTCAAGATAGACTGAGGATGTACTGAGTGTGAATTTATAAACGGGTGATGTGGTTCTCTTCATTTGTCAGCAGACTGAAGATTTGAAGTTATGACTGATGTGTTTTTTGTCATTTTCTCTAACACTTGTTTTGTTCACTCCCTCTGGTTGCATGTCATCCAACATGTTTTCCCTCTTTTTAATATTTATGGCTCCATCTGGTGGTCAACAGTCCCCTCCATCCTGTGGCTAGTCTGTGACGTTACCCCAGTTGGTTTTGTTCCTGTGTTGGTTTGACAGTCTTTGTGATAAATTACAATTCACAGGACCTTTATGTAACTTCCTAGTACAACTTTTAAAATTCCCATTGGCCACCCTGCACCTAGATGTACTGTATACTTCCAGTAACTGCACACATATTACACGTTCTCTACCCCGCTGGACTTCGCCAGCCTTCTACCAGAGACACTGGGAAGTTCTTTTATTTTCTCTTTCCCCTGGGTAGGTCTTGACTCCTGAGACTTGATTAGATGTTCCAACTCTGTTTCCCTAGGCCTTAGACTGGCCCCTTTACTGTTCTTGTCACCCTATACTGCAATTACCTACTCATTTCTAAATCTATTACAATTTAGTAAACTTTCAGAGGGTCATGTCTTATTCACCACTTTATGCAGTTTCTGATATAGAAAAAGTAGGTGCTTAGTAATTATCTGGTATAAATAATGAATGAATGAACAAATGAAACAGGGTGAGAAAAAAGGGATATTTTATCTTTTTTTTTTTAAAGATTTATTTATTTATGCATACAAGAACTGGGGTACAGGCCAGAGGTGCAGGGGGTGAGAGGATTCACCAGAGACAGACTGGGGAACAGAACAGGCACACTGACTGAAATACACTGCTGAGGGGAGCAGTGGGGCAAGACAGGAGAGGTTTGCTGTGCCATGTCGGTAGCTCCCTGGACGGCCTGGGATTGAACTCATGCTGCAGAGGCTGCAGACAGCTTCACAGTGCTGTGCTTAACCTCTTGTGCCACCAGGAAGGCCCATTATCTATTTTTTAATAAAGGCTTTATGGAGTAACAATTCACTCCTGTAAGGGAACAATTTAGTGGCTTTTAGTTATTTCTGGATCAGCTTATTTTATTTATTTTTTTTAAAAAAGATTTATTTATTTATTTATACAAGCACTGGGTACAGTCAGAAGCGCAGGAGGGTGAGAGGATTCACCAGAACCAGAGCGGGGAGCAGAGGAGGCAGAAGGACCAAAGTACACTGCTGAGGGGAGCAGCAGGCGGCAGGAGAGGTCTGCGCGCCATGTGGGACCCTCCTCTGGTGGCCGGGGAGCAGCCGGGGATCGAACCGGCTCTGCAGAGGCTGCAGGTAGCTTTGCAACCCAGCGCTCAACCGCTGCGCCACCGGGGAGGCCTCAGATCAGCCTATTTTAAAGAATAGCTGTAAGAGAGGGAAGATACTGAATTGAAAGTTTATAAAAGCTGAGATTATTTTGACTTTACTAAGAGAAAAGTGTTCCAATTGTTGTAGGAAAACAACATATTATTTAAAATACATTATTTGAAGTCAATAACTTAACATTTAAATTAAAAGCTATACAAAGGTCAAAGGAATAAAACACATCTTTATTATGTGTGAATCTAAATTCATGTTCCTCTTTCAATTCAAATGACTGAAGTTGCTAATATATAAATATTCACTTGTGGCATATACCACTCCCTGTGTTTGAGCAACATTCCCTGTGTTTGTGCAAGTGTTTCTGTAAGTGAATGTGTGTACCTGTATATGGTATCGTTGTTTCTTGCATGGGCGTGAGGGAATGGGTGGGCAGGAGTGGTAGGTTGGGGTTTCCAATGCCATAACCATTGCTTTCTTTTTCAGGAAGAGTATCCAAATCTTTGCTTCATTCTGCCCAACAGCAATGAGGAACTTGGTTTATATTTTGTCTTCTCTTTTTTGGGTACAGCTGGTCATGCCACAGGTAGTAAAGAATAAAACTGTGGACAATAAAAGATATGGCACATTAGAATGGCACATTGTGCTGAGAATCAAATCAACACACACTTATTAGGGCAGGCCCCGTATGATGGAAGACACAGAGTAGTCTCAGGCCTGGTTTCTCTTGGCAGCAAACTTTTGACCAGATTGGGAGAGTCAGGCATTTGAAGCACAAGGGGATGTTAATATAAGACACAGACAAGCATAAAAATATGAGATAAAATGAAGGAGGAGAATGGTTTTCAAATGGCTGCTCGATAGATGACTTTGTTTTTGTAATCAGAAATGATTAAGGGAGAGCCTGACCATAGAAGCACTTCTGAAGATGGGGCAAAGTATCGGGCACAGGACTGTCTGGAAGGTCCTAGACACATGACTTCTGTGGCTGAGCTGGCACTGGGAGGTCAACAGAAGTAGTGAACACTACAGACAAGTTTTTGGAAAGTCTTCATTCCATGGAGGAGGAAAGGTGAGTGTGTCTAATTAAGAGGGGGAGGGTAAAGAAGCTCCAGGCTGGGGAGAGCATAAAACATGAGATGAGGAGAGGGTTATAGTCAAGAATGTGGGTAGGAACATGCCTATGAGGAAAAAACTAGGGCCACAAGACAGAGGACCACATAAACTCTTAGGGACAGTTAAAGGATGTTCCCAGGAAGAGACTAGAAACTACTGTGTCAGCAATAACAGTGAAAAATCGGAAGGGACATCAGAAATGGCACTTTATGAAGATCTACAGGGCAACATGGGCTGTAGGCTGGTGGGGAGTTATTATAAGCATTTAGGCAGGGGACAACGAAAGCTGAGCTGGGGTCTGAGTGAGAAGATGAGTGGGGACTTTCCAGAGAAAGGTGACAGAAGGGGTTTCTGTTTGGGTGGGTAGCGGGGGATGATAGTGAGTTCAGTTTCCAAGGTGCTGCAGGGTAGTGGAAGGGCACATGGGACCAGCGGGGCAAGAGCTGGAGCTATGGGATCTGGAAGGAACAAGTCATGAGAGAGCAGTCCCAGTGGTGGCACTGCTGCACCTGAATGTTTATGCAGCAAGAGAAGGAAGAGGGTTGAGGATGATCCCTGGAACAGATGGAGAAATCAGTGAAGAAAGACCCAGCAGACAGGTAATAGGTGGTGTGTTTCAGAAGTGGGGATCTGAGTGACCAAGTGGGGGAATGGAGCAGAGATAGGGAGATAGAGGGCTCTGAGAATTTGGCAAATGGCTGTTCTCTTGATTTTTTTTTAAGAGTGCAGATTCAAAAAACTATGAGAGATTATGTTTTACAAAAAGAAAAAGTCTTGGGGAAATAGGCCAAGGTCAACTGTTCTAGAATAAAGAGCTGAGCGTGTATGATGGCACAGGGGAAGAGATACTCTAGAGGAGACAGGATAAAGAAGAGACAGTGTCTTTGAACCTGGAAAGGAAAAGGCTTAACTGAGTGGGAAGGGAGGCTGAAGAGAGGTAGAGAAGGTTTAGAGGTGCCATCAATAAGAAGTATGTATAAGTGAGGAAGCAGTGGCCAGGACTACACCTCAGCTTTCCCTCATGTGCTCAGACAAGCCTGTTTCCTTCTCTGTGTTTTCCTCACCACCTACATCCACTCACACCCCAGCTGAGCCTTCCAGAGTTGGCTCCAGGATCCTACATCCTAATATAGGCTGCAGGGAGAGATGGGCTGCGATTCAGAAACTGACTGTAACCAGAGGGAGGACATTTACAGTTTGGAAACTGTTCCAGAAAGGAAACTGAACACAACTCTGAGATAGTAGGGAGGAGAGGGGAAAGAAGACAGATGATCATAGGTGTTCTGAAATGAAAAGGGAGGAAGATCAAAGAATTTTAAGTCTTAATTCTTAGCTAAGTGAGAGCAGACATAGGAGTAAGGAGCATGAAGACCGCAGAATAGCAGCTTTACGATGATTTGATGGAAGAGGTAATGGCAGACAGAAGGAACACAGAGGTCCAGTGGTGGTTTTGTGCAAATGCAGGATGGCCTGCACCAGCAACGCTTGCCATGCTTGATGGAGGACACAGATGGTGAGGCTCACCAAACAGATCTAATGAGGCATGTCTGGTAGGTAGGGAGGAAGCTGATGGATGTCAAAGGACTGATGAAGAGTAACAGCTGCCTACAGCTTCCAAGTGTGTTTAGAAGAGTGGCGTGAGAAAACTTAAGAGGCAAGGAACTAGAGCTAAAAAAATCAATAAAAGCAGGGATGGTGGAAGGGAGGGGGGAGAATGGTTGAAAAGGGTAGGAGACAATTGTTAGTGGGACAGACTTCAGTAGGAGTGAGTTGGTAAGGAGGTGTTAGGGAAACTATGAGACAAGCAACAAAAACATTGATGTTGCTCACATGTGGATGACAAAAGAATTAAAGTGAAGGGTCCCGGGAGACATGTCCTTGAGGGAGATGGAAGTGACCTAGAAGCAATGAGATGTCAGGTAATGGGTATGGATAGCTCCTATTTGTTTTACCATGACATCTGTCCAATTTGAGGACACTTTGTCCAAATGCATGGGCACTAAGATGCTTTTGTACCTATTCAAAAGTCTTGAGATTTATAGATGCCACAGTCACTTCCAACATCCCATTCTATCCTCTGGAAGAAGTAGACCATGGTGCTTTCCAGCAGTAAGCCGCATAAGATGGCCAAAAAGGAGAGCTTTCGGCTGATGTTTAGGGTCACTGGAAAAGAAAAGGGAACTAGTAAGTTCTTAAGAGTTTAATTAAATGATGTAAATTATGTAGTAGTATGAATGAGATTGTTCCATGAAATTGTTTTCAGAAAAGTCTGTCTTAATAATTTCCTACTTTTCATCTGCAAATCTTCAGTGAATCAAAGCATCTGCTTATAACAAAAACACCAACTTCTCCTCAAATTGAAAAAGAGTCCCATGAACATTAAAAGGGAAAACAAGAATAGGTCCTAAGGTTATAAAGAGAAGAAAAATTTCTACTCAATGACAAAAAAGTATTAGACAATAGGTTCTTTTAAAATTGTACTTCTTACAATGTTTGGGGAAAATGAGGACACACAGGATGGGTTGTACACTTTCCTGGTACAGTGGGGGCTGCCTGGAGCCAGGGGCAGACACCTGGCATCCTATTCTGACTTGACAAGTGGCTAGCCATGTAACCATGGACAAGTCACCATGAGCTCATTGGTAAAATGGAGGTAAGATGACTACCCTCCTCATCCCACAGGACAGACACCAAGCATATACAAGCACTTTGAAAAGTAAAAAGTACCATTTGGATGAATGGAACAAGTACTAAATGTGTACTATGTATAAGGCACTATAGAAATGTTAAGTCTTTTTACTATTCTATGAAGAATATCAGTGTTTGACAGTTTATATAAAAACCAACACAAGGGTTTAGGTATTTTAGGTTGAAAGCTGAGAGGACAGAATAAAACACAAACATACCTCGAATTGCCTGAAAATTTGACGTGAGGACAAATAATTTAATGAGTCTGAGGCACAGGGGTGTGTAGTCGTGTTCCCAAATGACAGCTGGAATCAGCAAGAGTTTTCCGTAGCTAGATAATAACAAGGCTTTCAACAGCAAAAGGAAGTCGGATTTTTTTTTCGCTGTAAAGGATCGTTCAACCCACAGGAAAGTAAAAATGCCAATAAAAAAGGCAGTTTGTTCTAAGAAGGAAATGGAAAATAAAAATATGAATGTTCCTATCCAAACCATAGTCCCTTAAAAACAAAAAACCACAATTCCAAAATATAATTTATCAACTGACTCACAAGAAATGCTTTATGAAGATTGAATTTTCCTTTTTTCTTTTAAGAAAAAAAAAATAAGCCCCTGCCTTTGTGTCAATTTCTGCTGGTATGATTTCAGAAGCTATTAGGTTAAGGAATGGGTTCCACCTAACTACAGCTGCAGAAACAGAAATATTTTTGATGAAATATTTTATCATCCAGTGAAGAAAAACTCCATTAGAATTATAATTATCAACATTCTAATGTTCCTTCTAGGAGGTAAGATTCTAGAGATCTTGTGGCAAAAATAAAACAGGAGATTGGAGGTTTTTCTGAGAGAAAGAAGGGATGCAGGGCCTCCCTGGTGGCGCAGCGGTTGAGCGCTGGGTTGAGAAGCTGCCCGCAGCCTCTGCAGTGCCGGTTCGATCCCCGGCTGCTCCCCGGCCAATGGTGGAGGGTCCCACATAGCACGCAGACCTCTCCTGCCGCCTGCTGCTCCCCTCAGCAGTATGCTTCGGTCCTTCTGCCTGCTCTGCTCCCCGCTCTGGCTCTGGTGAATTCTCTCACCCTCCCGCGCTTCTGACTGTACCCAGTGCTTGTATAAAATAAATTAAATAAATTTAAAAAAAAAAAGAAGGGATTCATCCAAAGAATTACACATGAAGATGTTTTACTTTGTTCATTTTTCTACTATGTACCGAGTGTCTATTATACAGAAGCTTTTGAATGTTCTTACCTACATTAAAAACTTCCTTTATTCTTTTTAGAATTATTTTATTTATTTATGCATACAAGAACTGGGGTACAGGTCAGAGGTGCAGGAGTAAGAGGATTCACCAGAGACAGAGTGGGGAGCAGAACAGGCAGACTAACTGACATACACTGCTGAGGGGAGCAGCAGGTGAGAAAGGAAAGGTCTACTGTGCCATGTGGGTAGCTCCCTGGCCAGGGATGGAATGCATGCTGTGGTGGCTGGCATAGCTTGATAGAGCTGAGACTTGGATAGATAATCTAACCTGACTAGATTTCCAAATATAGGTGATTAGGATCTGTAAAAATAATTTAGGGTGGTTAACCTGCATGAAAGTTGATACATTATTCAGGAAACATACATTATCTCTCTTCAAAATAACTGGCGGACTTATCAACTGCAAGTATCTGCTCAAATAGGCAGATCTTACAACTTGGGTTTTGGATAAGCCAGTAGTAGAAGTAAAAACTGTGGTGAGTTGTCTCTGGTCCCAGGAGCTACTCTTACAGGAATTTAGAGCAAAGATTTCCTGCACTGGATAGAGGGACACGGGATAACCTCTACATCTTCCCATCTGATAACCTGGGAGAGTCATGAAAGTACACCAGCCCTCAGATTTTGCAAAACTGTCCACAAAGCACATGTTATGGCCCCTTCTACAGGTTTTCTTTGGTCAGGTGAACTCAGTAGGAGCTGCCTTCTAGTCTAGAGTGCTGCAGTGGAGAAAAAAAGCGACAGGCAACCAAGAGACAAGCCTTGGCTCAGTGCTGACACTAACAGTCTTGTGGGACTTTGCAAAAATGATTTGTCCTCCCTATTTGTTTCAACAGCTGTAGATAGGGGGGAACCCCTAACTTAACTAACAAAGAGCATAGTTGTGAACATTATGTCGATAATACTGTAAAAGCAAGTGTTTAAATTGTAACATGCTATAGTTAGGTAAGTTATTCTAGATAAGTTATTTTAGGGTTTTATAACGTAATAATTAACTTAATTATTATATTAAAACACAAAAAAATAGTAGAAAAATATTTTTGATTATTAAAATATCCACTATAGAGTAGGCACTACAGGAATGCCAAACAATTTGAACACAAGCTTGTATTTTTTAATATTAAAAATTATGGACATAAAGCAGATCATCTTCAGAAATTTTAAGAGGCTTTGTTTTAAAGCTTAAAATTATACTACATTCTAGTTCTTCGATGAGGTGATCTATTCAAGGATGTTTTAATATTATTATGTACATTTGGGAATTCGCAACATATAGATGAATTTTAAAACCATGAGACTAGATGAGAGGATCTAAGGAGTAAGGGCAGAAGAAAAGAGGTCTAGAGGATGAACGGTCCAGAAACTTGGTGTTAGAGTGGGCTGGGGACATAATGTCACTAAAATAATGTTTCACTATAATCAAAGAATTTTAGAAGCAGAGCCAGCATGAAAAAAACCAGTAAGTAATACACTATTCATAGAAATTAATTCAACATAATTTTGACCTATGTCACAAATTCAAATTCTCAAGAAAAGCAATTTTTTGAACTTAAGGAATTCTAGGGAGTAGCCAGTTCCCCTGCATGGTGTCCAATCAATAATAAGTTTTCTCTGAATACAGTGCATTAATACAGTGCAAGCAGTACAGTACATTGGATAATCTGACAACAATAAATCTCTTTTAATAAAGAGGGTACCTAGATAATCTTCCACTTGGATGAGAACTTAAAAAATTTTATCAACAATGCTATGTTTTAAAATATTTTATGAAACTCTAATCTGATAAGCATAATTACTTCCACACTATCTGTGTGATAAATTAAAAAGTAAGAAAGTAGATAATTTAGACATGCTCACCTAGCAGGTCAGTGGTCGAGTTAAAAATTCAACTTACCAATGATTAAGTCTTATCAAAACTCAGTCTTACCAATGATTAAGACTACGCATGTTACTTTCAATCAGAGTAGTAAATGTGAGTTAACTAATTGAAAGTATGGCTTGTTCCTACCTAGAGAAACAATTGCAAACATTTTATAGAAATCCCACTCCTTAGCGTATCTGATAAAGTCGTCGGGGTCACTGTTCTGGTTTGAATCTTGAAGCTGCCACCATCTCAGGTATGCCTCACAAAGCAAACAAAATATGCAGAGTTTTCCATGCATCTGGTGGTCAAAAGACATCGCCATTCAGTTAGATAAGAAACACTTAATTGTACTTAATACCCACTGGCACAGGCATAGCTACTTGTTTATGGTCTTAAAAAATGTCCCATCCAGTAATTTTTCAAATTCATAACTTCCCAATTAAACCTATAATCACACTGAGTTTGCAAACCAGTGCTTCTTTTTCTGTGCAATGTCCACTAGAACTATCACATGGGGGGGATTTTTCAAAATACAAATGTCTAGGCCTTAATAGTGACACAAAATCTTTGGAAGTAAATCCTAGATACACCTAATTTGGAACAGTCCTGGGGGAAGGAGGATTCTAATACATATCCCTTGTTAAGAATCACTTTTTTAAACAGTAAGTCTCTTTTCTTGCTATTTTCAATCCCAGTCCTATACACAAAAATCAAGAACTTTTGTGATTCATGGATGGGTGAAAGCAACAATAAGAACAGATTTACCCTAAGAAACTATTAGTCTTTGAACTAGTTGAAATTTTAAAAGCTTCTAGGCTGGATGAATATTAACTAACATACTGCAGTTGAATGGTGGTAAGCTGAAATTCTAAAAGGTATGAAATTGTGGCAAAGAGAGAGGAGACCAGGGAACATGATTTGACATTTTTCTATTTATTTTTCCTATAGGCTGACCTTTGGCAACATAAAGTGTGTGCAAGCACAAGGTAGTCCGGGGACAGGTAAGGGCATCAGCTGCTGAGGCCCTTCAGGTAGTACACTGGTTCTCAGGGCTGCACTATGGAATCACTTGGGGAGTTTTAAGAAATACAGATACCTGAATTCCATCCCCAGTGATTCTGATTTTACTAGTTCTGGGTTAGGCCTGGGCTTGGAAGATTTAACCACTGTCCTCTCCCACCCCACAAGGAAATTCTAATGTGTATCAAAGTTTGAGAATCAATGCTCTAGTAATTATAATCTACCTAAATTATTTACCTTGGGTATGGGGAGCTCAGGGATAAATAAACTGTACTGTTATTGTCCATATTAGTCCAAATTTAAGGTTGCCAAATTTAGCAAAGAATACTAGCCCCAACCAAACCAATAATACTCAGTTAAATATGAATTTTAGATAAACAACAAAAGTTTTTTTATATACATGTTGCGGGTATTTGGAACATATAAAAGTAACCATTGTTTATCTGATTTTCAAATTTACTTGGGTCAAAAGTTCACAATTCAATATGCTAAATAAATGTGTATCTTGAAAAAGCTAACTTCATTAGAACTTTTTTTTAAAAGATTATTTATTTATTTATTTATGCATACAAGAGCTGGGGTGCAGGCCAGCGGTATGGATGGGGGGAGGTGAGAGGATTCACCAGAGATAGAGTAGGGTGAACAGGTAGACCGGTAGATCAACTGAAATACATTGCAGCAGGCAAGACAGGAGAGGTCTGCTGTGCCATGTGGGTCACCTCCCTGGCCTGGGATCAAACTCATGCTGCGGTGGCTGTGGATAGCTGCATAGTGCTGAGACAACCTCCTGCGCCAACAGGGAGGCCCTAGAACGTTTTTGTTATTCTTGGGCCTCCCCTGGTGGCGCAGCGGTTGAGTGCTGGGCTGCAAAGCTGCCCGCAGCCTCTGCAGCACCGGTTTGATCCCGGCCACCAGCGAGGGTCCCACATGGCATGTAGATCTCTCCTGCTGCGCCCGCTGCTGTCTCAGCTGTGTACATCGTCACTCTGCCTGTTCTGTTCCCTGCTCTGACTCTGGTGAATTCTCTCACCCTCCTGCGCTTCTGACTGTACCCAGTGCTTGTATAAATAAATAAATAAATCTTAAAAAATAAATACATAATAAAATTAAAAAAAAAAATGTTGTTATTCTCCTCCTGCATTCCCTCAACAGCACAGTATAAAATACAAAAATTATGTTTTAAAATATTCTCTTTTAATATTTGCTTTTAGATATACTTTCTGTGCACATGTATATATTTAATTTTATTTTGTTCAAAATAATTGATGTCTGCTTTAAAAGAAGACATGTTAAAAGGTGATCCAGATTATGGCTTACAGTTTCCAGCACATTCTTAAATATTTACTAAATATTGTGCACCTTTTTAAAAACCAAAGTCAGCTATTTCTAGAAACCTCTAGAAATTATTGAGAAAAAACCCACTCATTAAAATTTTTTAATAATGATGTTCCTTAATTTTGTTCCAAAGTATTATTCTTTCATATACAAAAACATCAAGTAAAATTAGAAAATAAAATAATTACCACAACTTACATTTATTTTGGTATTGAAAAGAATATGCCTGTAGGCCTGGGCTTTACACAGAATAGCATTAATCAAGATAATGACAGGATCATACTCGATATACTTATCTACAGGTTTCTGGCATGATTTCTGAAATAAAGCAAGATAATATTAGAACAAGCAACTGAAATCTTTTTTAGCAGTAAGACTGTTTCGACATTTAAATAATCTTCTATTCAGATACAAAATGTCCATCTCTGTAAGACTTGACTTCAGAAATGACTAATACAACTTTGTAAACTTAAAATATTAATCTTGTGATCTCATATTTAATTTGATTTAAAGACTTATTTTAGGCAGTAAAGTATCCCAGAAAATTCTGTTTTCAATTTGTAGGAATTGTTGGAAGACAATTTTATAATGTACTTTCACTGATAAATTGTTGCCTGTTGGTTCCATGGCCCCTACTTCTATAGTGCATGAAATAACTGTTATCTAATGTTTTGGAGAAAAGGATTCAGAAGAGTCAGTCTGCACCGAGAGATTCTGAGAGTTACAAGCAGGTGTGGCACAATGCCAACAACTGTGGGGTGGAGATACTAACAGAAGCCTGTTTTTCCCTCCAAAATAAGAACTATGTAAGAAAAATGGTCTTTCTCTGGTACAAAAGACACTGGCAAATGCTGGACTGTGTGTAAGGAACTGGGTTGTGCCACCTGGTTCTAGGTTACCATTTTGGGGTGACCTACAGGCTCAGCTCCCTAGGTTCTCAGCAACTTTTTTTGTTTTTGGGTGGGGGCATGTTATTACAATGCTGTGAAATCCCAAAACCAACAGAACATATAAATTGCTGATAAAGTATATAAAGTCTCATTAGAACTATGTAACATTTGAAACATCACTTACAGAACTGCATCAAGGCTACTATCTACTGCATAAACTAATGGTTATGATTCAAAGTTTTTTGAAACTTTGAGAGGATAAAATAGAAAAAGTGATGGATGTGCAAACATGACAGAGTGGCCCTTTAATTACATCAAAGTGCTAGAAGAAAAATGAAGTTCGCTAAAGAATATTAACTCTGAACTCCAAGTGTAATGAAAAATTAATTTTCTTCCAATTCAAGGAGTATTTCTACTTCATGTCATTGCAAGAAATGGGTGTTTTTCCAGCCATCAAGTGAAAACAATGAAGGCAGATGTGCTATACCTCAAATTTAAATCCACCTAATAAAACTGAGGTATGAAAGCTTAATAAATTTAAATCCACCTAATAAAATTGAGGTATGAAAGCTTAATAATTTTGCTGCTTTTTACCTGAGCAAAGCCAAGGTCTAAATACAAATCACAGAATCAGAGATTTTATATTCATGAGAAAGAGCTGTTTAGATTCTAGATTCCCTGCCTGTGTTACCCATATAAGACCAATTAGGTTACTTCACTTTAAAATGAAACCACTGACGGGCTTAATGGTTTTTTCTTTGTCTTCTAGAAGGTCTCTAAGACCCATCTTCAGACAGCATCGCAAGTCTAAAACGGGATTTGCACAATTTTTAGGGGGAGGTGGGCAGAAACTAGCAGCAGGAGACACAGAAGTTAAGCTATTCTGAATGTAATCACTTGTCCAACAAATGTTTTTGGGGTGGCTATTACATTCGTAACAAGTTACCTTTACTTAGCCATTTCTATGGACCAGATACTTCCAAGGTGCTTGCTATTCATCTTGTGACACAAATCTCTATCCTCAAGGACCTTACAGTTTAGCAAGGGAAGACCAACATGGCACTAACTAGTGCTCCAATGGAATGAGCACAGGGTGACTTACACCCAAATGGAAGCGGCAGCGTCTGGATTCAGGTGAGATGCTATGCACTAGACTCTTCTCCCCTTCTTAGCATTCTCAGTATAGTGTAACCATTGACAATTCCTTCATGTTTTTTGGTTCCCTCCCTAATAACAGGCCAATTTTATCTTATTCTGCCTCTATTGTTTGCTGTTCCTTTCACCTTGAATGTAAGGAGAAAAACCATAAGAACACAAAACAAACATGGTAAAGCATTTTATTGGGAGATAGCTAAATTCAGTAGGTACATTTTCTTCTTGGGTAAAATTGTTACATTCAATATTACTTACTATTTACAATATCCTGAAAAAGAAAGCTGTCCTTTAAGAAATCCTAATAGCACAGAGACCTTCATACCTTGGGAACTCCAATACTGCTCCTCCTACCTCAATCTTTTTTTTTTTTTATTAAAGATTTATTATTTATGCATATAAGAACTGGATTGTGGGTCAGATGTGTGGGGGTGAGAGGATTTACCAGAGACAGAGTGTTGAGCAGAACAGGCAGATCTACTGAAATCCACTGTTGAGGGGAGCACATGGGTGAGACAGGAGAGGTCTGCTGCGCCATGTGGGTTAGCTCTCTGCCCGGGGATCGAACTCATGTCACAGAAGCTGGTGATAGCTTGATAGCACTGAGACTTTAACCCCTGTGCCACCAGGGAGGCCCTACCACCTCAATCTTAACATGGATTCGACATACTTTCTGCTGCTATGTTCTGCAATTCCATAAAGAATCACATGTCTTTCAGATTATAAAATGACCTGACCAACTTTTTCATGAATCTTCTTGTGTTTCTGCCTTCTTGTCATCTCCAGAACTAGGCTCTCTCCTCCAATGCCTCATACTCAAATCTGTTTTGTTTTAGCTCTACAATAAGCAAATACCTATCCCACAAATGAACTCACTAGACTTTAAGCTGCTCTAGGGCAGGGCTGTGTCTTATTCACTTTGCACCTACCATCCAGCACAGGAAACTGAATACTATAGTACTGAACAGAACAGAAACTTAGGAGAAATCTCTAAGGAGTATTGTTTTAAATTTATAAAGTATGTGAACACTTAAAAATAGACCAGGCAGTGTAGAATATTAAAAATACTATATCTTTAGGCATAATTATTAGTAAATTGTGCAAAGCTAAAGAATAGTGACTAAAAGCAAGGGGCTTTTAGTTTCCATTCAATGGAGGGAACCAGGGAAACACAGAAAAAGGAACTGGGAGGAATGGCAGGGGCTAAAAGAGGAAGAGCAAAGGGAAAGTTGTTAAGGATGAAAATACAGATAGGAGACCAGGCTATTTATACTGCTCACTTCAAATATGGCAGGGAAGTATGGGGTACCTGTTGTAACCGCCTAGAACTTTTGTTATTTTTTTTTCATAAAATATAGCCTAAAATCTAAAAGCTTTTTAATTTTTAATCTCAGGACTCAGAAAGCCTTTTAATAACTATTTTATGGTTTAACTGTAGAACCTAGAATCAATTAAATGATTTTTTTTCTGTGTGATGCTATCATTCATATCACTATGCATTAGCATAACAAAAACAAGGATATTACATAATTTCAGCAGGGAATGACTCTGTACAGCAGTGTATCCATAAAGAACTGCACAGCCATTCAATAGTCCAAAATCTAAAATCTCTCCTGGATGAGAGAAAAAAGGTGTAGCTATTTACCTAAACAGTGAGCCAATAATTATTCTGTCTTTCCATCAGAACAGGGACAGAGAAATCAGCATCTGATAATTAGAAAGGCAATTTTGGTAACTTAATGCCAAAAATTAAAAAAAAATTAATAAAAGGTTATTTTATATTACTACAGATTAACTAAAATGGATAAACAAATACTAGCTTTTCTTTGGACAAAAAGCTTATATTCACGATGACCAAGAATATGATTATCTTAAAAATCCAGAAGTGGATCATTCATTCCACATATATTTATTGGATACCTACTATGTGTCAGGCGCTTTTCTGATTGGGTCAAGCTACATTAATGAATACGCAATAATCGCTGGCCTTGGGAAGCTTATATTCCAGTGGTAGGAGACAGATCATAAATAATAAACAAATTACAAAGAATATTAGATGACAGGTGCTATGTATGGAGAAAGATCAAGAAGGGAGGGTGATAAGGAGTTCAATTTGTCTAGCAAAAGGACAATAACAATCATGAAATAGCTATGGCGTCAACTCAAATTTCAACCTAATCTGATCTTCACATTTCTTTGCAAAACCTAGCCCCACCTCTGCCCTAGGATCTGTTCGCTTAGGCTGGGTGTCACCGGTATTCCTGCAACGACCAGACAGACCCAGACCAGGAGCGTCAAGCATGGAAGGGAAGACTGCATTAGCGGGCCCTGACATTCGCTGATTTTTATCGCTCTAAAAAACTGATACAGATTGCATCCCTTCTCGCAGTCCCCACATGCCCCCCGAGCCATTTTCTCCCAAAGATCATCCCACAATGGAAAACTCACGCAGATGGTTATCTTCAGCACGCCGTGTTTATAGTCTCGGTACAATTCCTCCGCCTCTTGGTTGCATTCGATGCACCTGTACTGGCAGGATGCCGACGCAGCAGTAGGAGTCGCTGTCACCTCATCCGTGTTTCCCTTGCTAGCCCGAAGCCCAGTCCGCCCACCAGTGCCCATTTCCACGCAACTTCGGCCGCGAACTTCCGATTCTGAGGACGTTAGACGCCTGGCCGGAAAGCCTGCGCCACGCAATGCTTGCTGGGATTTGTAGTCCCAGCCCCGGAAAGAGGGCCGAGGGTGACGGAGCTGGGACTACAACTCCCAGAAGGGACTGTCCCAGTCCTTCTCCCGCCCCTCTGGCTAAGGCCCACCTGCCCGCCGCGGGTTAAGTCTGGGAGGCCGCAGCGCGCGGCGCGGGCCGCCGCACATGCGCCTTGAGGGAAGATGGCACCTGCCGGCTGCTGCTGCTGCTACTGCTGGGGCGGAGCTGTGGCCGCTGCGGGCGCCGCGGGGCGCGTCCTGGTGGTGGTGCTGCTGCTGGGGGTCCTGTCCCCCGGGTCGCGATCGGGCGCCCTGGCCACGGAACACTACTCGCCACTGTCTCTGCTCAAGCAGGAACTGCAGCACCGGCAGCAGCAGGAGGCCCCGGCGGGCGGTGGCGGCTGCAGCCCGCCGTCCGGGGACTGGGGGGACCAGTACTCGGCTGAGTGCGGCGGTGAGTGGGCGGTGACGGGCGGGCGTCCGGGGCGCCCCGGGCCTTGGGGCCAGCGGGGCCGTGGGGGCGGCGGGCCCGGGGACCGATGTGCGGTCACCTGGGCTTCGCCGCTGCCGGCCGCGACGTGCAGTCCAGGTGGAGCCGGCTTCGCGAGGTGTCACACCTGGGCCGCTTCCAGCCTCTCGTCTCGCACCCACGCCGCTGCGCGCCCTCCTCCTCCCTGGCCGCCGTGGGCACGGCTGTGGATGCAGAAGAGAGCTGACAACCTGCTCTCGGGGCCAGGGTGGCCTCACCGGAGTCCTAGCAACTGTTGAAAGGGTGTTGGATGGTCGAGGAGATGGCAGGTGGCCCGGAGTAGCCCCTGTTCCCGCTCTTTCCCTTGAGCAGGCCTAGGTAGTGAGGGAGGGACGGAAGGACTGGAGCATACTGAGGAGGATCAGGCCCTAGGGCGCTGCTTCTTGGGGCCCAGAGGAGAGGTGGGGATGTCCAGTCCGGCTTTGGTCTGGAAATCTTGTTTCCTGACCTTCCAGGTTGAGGTCTTGTTTTAAACACAGTCTAAACATTCTATCCCTGGAAGGTAAAGGAAATGAAAGAGTATGCCTGTTTTATCTGCTTGTTGATATTTTGTCTCCAGTTGTTCAAGATTGACCTGTGATCTGTCAGGTGTCTCCCTGATTGTAAAAAGAGCCCCGCAGGCAGTCCTCGAGCCTGTGTTGGTCACAGCTGTGTGCGTATTGGAACTAGGCCAGTTCATTCATTAAGATAGGGCACGATTGGCTTCAGTTTAACCAGTCATGACAGATGCCTCAGGGACAAAATACGTATGTGTTTTTTTGTTTGTTTTGACGTTCTTTAGTGGATCTTTTCATCTTTCAATCCCTTTCCTTTCTTCTGTCCCTAGGTGAGTTCCCTTAAGGCTTGCTGTTGAAACACACCTAATCACTAGGAGCTAAGGTGCATTTATGGCCTGGCAGCAGTGTTCTTTAGCATCTTGTACCTGGGAAGACAAAAAGTATTTTTTTGGCTGTTGGATGTTAATCTGATTTCTCGAGGAAGACTCACTTACTGAAGTATATGTGACTTTTTTTTTATTTTCCAGTAGACCTTGGCTAGTAACAGCATAAATTACATGGCCAGCATTACATAGTGGAAAAAGAATGGCTTTTACCTCTATCACTTTCTGTGACTTCAAACAAGTTAATAATCTGTCTTTGCAAAGTTGCCTCCTCTGTAATTTGAAGACACTGTTACCATTAACTAATTACAGGTTTTTTTTTTTTTTCTTCACAAGGGTGCTATGGGGAAAACTAGAAACAGCTAACATAAATGGAGTGCTTGTATGCCAGGTGCTGTTGTAAGAACTTTAGTTTCATTAACCTAGTCTCCTGGTCTATACCTCATCGGATGGTAGCACCTTTTCTCAGATCAGGAAATGGAGGCAGAATGAAAGTATCACTTGCCTGAGGTCCCACAGCTGTAAAGGGACAGCTGAGGTGGCAAAACTTTGTCTTAAGCTCTGTTTATAGGTCGGAAAACACATCTGTAGTATATACTAGCATATGTGTGTAAATGTTCCTCTCCCCTGCCTTTTTGTAGTCATGTGATCTCATTGGTTGAAAGACCCAGATTCTGGACAGTGGAAAATACGAATTGATTCATATTATGAGGTCCACAGATATTATTGCTTTAGATGACTCATTTTACTCTGTGACATCAGACTTATGCCAGTGTCTAAGAGTCCTAATTTGGGCCAACTCGACCTGTATTAAACTTTTTTCCGAGATAGGGATAAATATAGGTTTTTATAAACTAGGCATTTGGAGGAATCTTCCTATCCATCTACCCTTTCTCAGTGCCTCACATACGGAGACCATTATCTAATGTTCTGTCCTTCAAAGGATAAACACCATATAATGAAGGATGATTTACTTAAATGTTTGAACTTTCTTTTTATCTCCCCCATGTAGTACTTAGTGTCTTAGTTTGGAATTAAAAATGTACTACTGCCAATGAGTGGCATGAGTCTTTCAGACAGGCTCCCCTGAGCTGTCTTGAATGTCCCAGTAGCTGCCAACAGGTGCTGATGTGACTTGGGTGCTGCTGCCTTGAGCCCCAGTAAATAATTCCCAGAGCCAACTACTTATGCTATGTGGGGCTCTCTTAGATTTACTGGCCACAGTATGTGACAAAAGCCATCTCTCATTGTGGAGACTCCAGAAATGTCTCTCATTTCTCCTTCTTTCTTTGGATGACTGGGTAGAAACTGGACCCTATGAGACCTGCTCTAGCCCCTCTCAGTCCTAGGGAGAACAGTGTAGGAGCAAATTCATGATTTATAGCTAACTGTTTTGTAGCCTGAGAGGCTCATATTCTGTATCCAGAGCCCCCATGTGATTAACTCAAAGGTCTAGATAAGTGCCAGGGCCCAGAACTAATAGTTCTTCAGAATCGAACAGACTTGTCCTTACCAACTATTAATCATGTCATCACTTACTAGCTCATCCACCCACAAGCCAGCCCCTATACAGAACATGGAAACAGCAAGTACAGCCACTTTTCAAGTCTTCTCACAACTTTTGGATTCAAATGCTTGAGTTGATGTATGCTCGAGTCTACATCTGCACATCTACTGAGCTGTATATGTATCCTCTTAAGACACAACTCCCAGTGATTGCAGAACCAAAGTCTGAGGCTGGTGGCAGCCCTGCTGTCTGAATGGTGCACTGTGTGGACCACCATCAAAGGAAATCAGGCCCCCAGGGAGCAGCTCACTGAGCTGCAGCTGTATAGACCACAGCCTGGGCTTTCCCTAGGGCCTTGAGTCTCAGCCTGCACTTTCCTGTGCCACACCCCTCCCTCTGACATTTTCTTCTCCTTTACATTTTTACATCTCGCTTTTTATTTGAAAGGCGTGTTGTAATTACATAGCTCTGATCTTCCTTCTTTTTCCTGTGGTGGAAATAATTTACTCTTTTAAAAATATATAATGTACATATTTTTGAAACAAAAATAAATTTTCCTTTTCCTTACTGCTTTTGCCTGTTTTTAGCTTGGGATTATGGAAAGAGATGATGAACACAAGTTTCCCCACAATTATAGTTTATTGTTGTAAACACTATATATGTTCTTAATTAATCCTGTTGTTACTGAAATAGGTGTTGTTTTTATCCTCATTTTACCTAAGGGGAAACTGAGGTAAAGAGAAGTTAAGACAGGTGTGTAGTGAAGGGTAACTTGAACCTTCACTTGAACCTGCCCTCTTGACCATGTGTGTGTTATCTCCCCATTAATATTTGCACAGTTTATTAGTAATATTAATGATAAAGTCCTAAACCCTTAAATTTGTTGAAAGTGATATTCTTAACTTTTAGAATTTTATATTTACATGCATGCAAGGATGCTTCACTGAACCTAATATTTTGAACTTGAACTACAGTGGATCTATTCTTTTTCTGAAAAGCCATTTGTGTGCTTATTAGATGTCACTCAGTGTTTTAGACCATGGGGAAAGAGCTGGAGTAGAATTCGGGTGGGGGGAGGCGGTTGCAGGAGAAACCAGCATAGGTTAGACTGGTGATAAAGGCTTTCAAGAATAAGAGTAATGTTTTCAAGAATAAAGAGTAATGTGGGAATGCTACTCTGAGAGGTGGCCAGGTGACCACCTTTGGCAAGGTGGTATGAGCAGAGACCTGAATAGAAAAGATTTGGAGAGATCTTAGCTGTATCTTAATTTGACACTGTAATGTTACAGATCTGGTAAATTAAGATTTAGGTAAGTTATAGCCTGCCCATTGATTTAAATTTAGGACCTCGGTTCTTTCTAGCAAACCTAAACTGCGTCTCATTCTAGTGTGGTCTCTGTCTGTATTAAGTAGGTTGTTATGTGCTCTTTACAGGCAGTCTAAAGTGTATTTTAACAGTTCAAACACACACATTTTTAGAAATTATTTCAAAATTCTTTTTTTTTCCTTCTTTGAAAATGTAGTATTAATAACAACAATTGGGTTTATGAGATTTTTCCTTTTACTGCTGTCTTAGAGACTTTTTGTCTGTCTCTTAAGTCTGTACTTGATATCTTTTTGGTAGTTTGCAGATAGCTACCTTCATTAGCTGAGCACATTAGCGCTGTCCATGATTAATACCTCAGTCAGTTCAATTATTAATTTGCACCCTGAAAGAGTATTTTTAGTTTATTGAAATTAATAACCCCAGGTGTGATTTTATTTTTCCGTAGTTCTTTGTGGATTTAAGAACATTAATGTCTGTCCTGTTAGGGAGTTGTTAACTGTCAGAAAGATATAGAAATAGCTAGGAATCTTGCTCAGCAATTTTTGACAAGGTCAGTAAGACTTATGGTCATTATATATAATTTTTTCTTAATTGAGTAATCAGGCATTTAAATATATGTAGTTGATCTTAATGCACACAGCTCTTAAATCATTGCCATGCCTTCAAAGTAGAAGGCAGAAGTAGAAGAGAGAAACTTTTATAATGAGAACTATTTCTTTTTTTGTTCTGGATACAAGGAAATTGACCAAATTTTATGCTGGAGTAACAACTTTTCCCCTAGTGTTTGTTACATATATTTTTCTGGCAGACCTCTACTGATCTTTTTTTTAAGGCATCCATGAATAATTTGCCAGTGTTAAGTATCTTGCTTATTTTGATCATAGAGATGGAAGCATGGAGTGATAATGATAGCCATGTATTATTTCCTCTCAGTTCTGGCTACTCTGGATCTTTTGCTAACTGAATAGCATCTCTTAGAAAGTTCTCGGGTTCAGAATTCACATATTGTAGCATGAGCTCCATGAAGATGATAGTTTTTGGCATTTGCTTATTCAGTAGCTTTTTAATATAGCTATATTGACTTTAGAATTACATTTATTTCTTGGGCCTCCCTGGTGGCACAGGGGTTAAAGTCTCAGAACTATCAAGGTATTGAGCCCCAGCCAGGGAGCTAACCCACATGGCACAGCCGACCTCTCCTGTTTCACCTG